TGTGTGTGTATTCTCCTCTCTCCCCTCTTTCCAAATTAAAAAAAAAAGGATTTTTTAATTTAAAAGAAAAACCAATGACTTCTGACTCCTATTTACGAGTCTTTCCTGCAGCTGGGCACAGAAGCAACACTCCGAGTTTACATTGCCGGATCTACACTGCCGGCACCTATAGAATCCCCACAATTACAGAAAGACAACACTCCGAAACTGCCACTTCCAAGAAAACTGCATCATCAACAGCCAACATTCAGACACATACTAACCAGTAACACCACATGTGGCAACTGCTTGAGAAGGGACTGGGGTGGGGGTGGGTGTTGGGAGGACAGAAAGAAAACAGAGAGGAAGAAAGCAAAGACCAGAAAAAAAGAAAGAGAGAGAGAGAGAGAAAGAGAGAGAGAGAAAGAGAGGAAGGGAAAAAGAAAGAAAAAAATAAAAAGAAAAGAACAGATCTTTGGTGGTTTAAGACTTTGAAGTCAGGAGGAAAAAAAGAGATCCAACTATGCACTCTGCTACTTGCAGAATAAATTCTCAACAGGATTCTGAAGCTCTAGAAATTGTTTCCTGCTCTCAAAACTGGGGTCACACCACCCACATCACAAAGTTGTCTCAAAAGTATCATTTATGGTCTTTGTGCAAGTAGGCACTTCAATTGTAACACAGGGTACTGTTATGGAGAAACTGAAGATAACACAAATTCAGTTAAACTGTTAAATCTTTCTTGAATGCTAGCAAACAGGAACAACTCATTAAAAAACCTTCTCTGTGCCATGACTGAAAAGTGTGGAGTGAGGAGGGGAATCTGCCAGTGATCAGGACCCAGCTTGGTAGGTTAGGCTGCCGTGCATAAGCCAGAATAGGCTGGCGTGCATAAGCCAGAATGGGTGCCAGCCAGCTGGGCGAGGCCACAGCACCCACTGGCAAGTTCCAGGACTGGGTGCAAGTCATGTCAGGTTGGCCCCCCTACCACCTGGCAGGCTCAAGCATTCAAGGACTTGGCCTACAGAAACAGTAGGGACTCCCCTGCTGGGTTGCAGCAACTGCTGTTGAGCACAAGAGTCAGGGCTGAGGGTAGGTCAGGCTGGTCAAGGCAGCAGCACCCATCCGCACATGTGGGGTCGGGTCTGGGGACAGGTCAGACTGAGCTAATTTGCAGCAACCACTGGAGTATATAAGAGCCAGATGGAGCACAGGACAGACTATGCTGGGCTGCAGCAAATACTGGAACATGCAAAAACCAGAGATGGAGATAGATCTGGTGGAGAACCCTAAGGGTAGCCCCAACTAGGACATAGCACTCTCTCGTATGTGTGAAGACTGGGCCTGTGGCAGGCTGCGCTGGGCCAAGCAGGCCACAGCACCCATCCATCCTCATGAGACAGGACTGGAGGTGGAACTGACCAGGCAGCTACATCTACCCCTACGCGCATTGCCCGGTACAGGTGATATACCAAACCTGACCCTTCAATGGCTGGCGCAAACAAGAGTCACTCCAGAGTCTGAGGTCATTCCAGGCAGTTTCTTGGGGAACTCCCCAACTGGATCACTGGACCCAAATCTTGGGCACAGGGAAAACCACAACACATGTGGTCCAACCTTGGAGTGCATGAACTGGGACCAGGCCTCCTCAGCTGCTGATACCCGTGTGTGGACTGCACACCCAGATGTACACCACAGCCATGACAGTCAGCTCATTCTAGGCCAGCAGAGGATATCACCTGCACTATGGTGGACTTGGTCATCCAACAGGCCTTGGAGAGATTTTTCTCAATACCAGTGCAACAAGGCCAACAAGTGTCTCAGAACTATCAAAAGCACTGTAGTAACAGCCTTGGAACACTCTTCCCCACAACAGGGTCTCTAGACATCCTCAAATGACGGTCCCTCATCCCTGGGTACTAATGTAGTTTGACATCAAGGAGGGGGTTCCTGCCTCCTGCAGACACAGGAGAAAAAAAGAACTGAAACATGTGTCTCAACCACCTTCCTCCACGCCTTGACCCTTCCCATCCTGATCAGAAACCCACAAGGGCATGCATCCCCCTCAACTATATAAACAATGTTAGAAAAAAAAACCTTCAGTTTGGGACATCTGATATAAGAGTGCCGGGGTTACACTCCACATGCCAGCTTCCTGCCCAAGTGTACTCAGGCAGGCAGCAGTGATGGCAAAGTTAACCCTCCACCTCTTACCCTTAATCCTGTCGCCTGGCCACCCCGACCTCGCCCCATTTGCTACAGGCATCTGGAGAGCGAGACAATGCAGAAAGGATCCATCTCTCAGTCTCTCTCTGCCTTTCAAACAATTAAAATAAATAAAAAATTTAAAACAAAGTAGAGCTATGAGAGTGAGTTTAGGGCTCCATTACTTAAGGATCATTTTATATTTATGACCAAAAACCACACATGTAAGTCCCTGGAATCGTTGAAGTTTCTCGTTTTATACCACTGTTGTAGTTCATTCTTTTCACATGCAGATTCTTTGCATTTCACTATACTCATAGTAAACCTGACTTTCAAACATTTTAACATTAATACAATTATCAACCAACCTATTTGTCATTTAACATCTCAGCAGTTCTCTACTTAGTTAACTATAACCTTAAGGAAAGCCCTAGAAAGCTCAATAGCCAGCCATCTGAACAAGAACAATGGTGTCCTCCCGGTGAGGAGGGGATCACAGGCATCCAGGCCACGGAGCGGGCACTAGAGAGCATCCCAGGCCTTCCAGAGCCACATCTTACAGTCTGAACCTATTTCATGTAAAACCAATTACCAGACGACCAGACACACCCATATTCAAAGACAAGTAGAGAAATGGAACAACACCATGTACAGACTGTTTTGCATTACCTACTTTGCTGCATTCTGCCACAAACATGGCTACTTTGCTGCCACTGGTTTCCTTAAACTTGTACTGTCTGGACCGACCCACTGGCCCCAGAACAGGCTCTATATCCTTGGACTTTCATACCTTCATCTGACTCATTTATAAATACAAGATGTTCTGACCTCCCTTGGCCTCATCTCCACCTCTTTCCACAGCTTCCTCTTCGGCAAAAACCTCCTGGCCCAGCAGCCTTGGGTGCAGCTCCACCATCTGCCTTACTCATGTTCCACTCTGCCCAGGAACCCAGCCCTCCCAGGCCCCCTCTGCCTGTTAGAATATTTTAAGGCCCAAGCAGAACGTCGCCAACTCCACACGCGTTCATCATCCCCACAGGCAGCACCCCCTACACACACACCAAGCTTCCTGGCACCTCTAATAAGCCCTCAGGAATCCTGTGTTGCAATTCCTTTGCCTGTTTCTCCCCTGAAGGATGCTCCCCCGCCTCTCACTCATTTCTCTATCCACGCTTCCATCCTCACCACATCATATAGGCCCTGACACAAAGCAAAGGTCTTACTGGATGGTATTCCCTGACTATAATACAAACCGGTCATTTTGAAGCAAGAAATAAATGACTTTCATGTGTTGGAGATTTTGTTAATATTGTTCATGTTTGCCAATCTAATAATGAAAGTATCAACGATTACCTAATGCATTAGTTCTGAAGTTGATAAACGGCTGAAGAGGTCAATGAGGCCAGTCAGTCAAGATAATCATTCCAAGACCAAGCCAGAAGTCTTACACATATCAACAATGAAATCAAACGTAACACCCCGAATCCAACCACTGCTACCTGCTGTCCATTCAGACATGTAACCCCACTCAAAGGCAAGCGTCTCCCCACTGTTACAAATCCAAGCCCGAGTCACACAAAGTATCTGATAATATCTTTCTTTCAATGCCCCAAAGGACCGCTTTTCCTGTCATGCAACTGCAAAGGCTAACCCACAAAATACGAAGGAAATCTGTATTAGCTTAGGATACACTAGAGTAAACTTTGAAAACAACTGTCATAAACGTCTCCCAAAAAAGTGCAAAAAAATGCCACAAACAAAAAAAAAACAAAGTGTAACAATGTCACAAACCAGATTTGGTGTTTTGGTGGAACAGGCTTCCTTAAAGCGGCCTCACATCTTTCTAATCCTAAACCACTCATTTTTCGTGATATTTGTCCCACTATCTATAAGGAAGGACGATCACCTTCAAAGACACACACACACACACACACACACGATTGTTACAATCCAGTTTCTTTTTTTTTTTTTAATTTTAAAAACTGTTGTATGGTGAATATCAGTTCAACCTCTCCTCCCTTCCGTGGGCACCGGGCATCAGGACAGGCGGACACCCAAGGAAAACAAAGGGGGACGTGTTTTTTTCTTCGCGTCCTGCAAACAAGCAGGTGTCCACTTTTCCTTGGGCGTTCTGCTAACATCTCACGCCGAGGTGCCCACTGGGGCCTGGGACTGCAGCGTCCGGGCACTGGGCACGCTGCCCCCCTCTACTTTCGCCCCTTCCAGGCCGCCTATCGCCCTCACCCCAACATCACCCCCGCGCCCCCCAAGCTGGGCGCCCCCGTGGGCGCCGGGCACCGAGTGCCCACTGGAGGCGGCGTGTGGGGGAGAAGCCACGGAGATGCGGTTCCCTTTGCCTGACTCACGCCCTGCTCAACTTCTGAGCCAAGCGACAAGCTCCATTAAATAGGTAAGTCCCTGCCCCCGCTCCCGAAACACAAACACCCCAACGGGAAGTTCATCTTGGAACAGCCGGCCGGCCCGGCCAAGCTCCCGCCCGGGCCCCGCCGCCCCCCATCCCCGACTCCGCAGGTAGCCGCGCCGGCCCGGGCCCAGGCCACCCCTCCGGAACGCTCGCCCGCCCCCCGACGCGCCCCCCACTCGCGCCGCCACACTCGGGCAACTTTTGCGGCCGGGCCGGGCGCCTCCCGAGCCCACGGCTCGCGCGGCTCGTCCCCGGGGCCTCGGAGCAGCAGCCCAGCCGGCGCCCTCGCCCACCCGAGCGCCTTCCCCGCGCAGCCCACGCAGCCCCACCCGCGAGGCCCAGGGCCGCCCGAGCCTGCCTGCCGAGCGGCCGCGCCGACCGGGGCTTTTACCTCAGAGCAGCGGCCGCGCCGACCGGGGCTTTTACCTCAGAGGCGCGGCCACGAGCCGCGGGGTGGTGCGGGCGGCGCCCCCGGCCGGCCTGCCTCGGTCGGTCCGTCAGCCGCGGCGGAGGCGGCCGGAGGAGGAAAGCGAGCCGCGCAGCGAGGGAGGGAGCGCAGCGCGGACTCCTGCCGGTGCCTCCTACCGCCGCCGCTGGCCGGACAGTCGCCGCCCGGGCCGCCGCTGGAGCCTCCGATGCAGCCGGCAATGAATGCACAGAGGCGCCTCGCTTATCCGGAGGTCAAACATCCTTCGGCCTCGGGCATCCGGATCGGCGCCGGACCCGGAAGTGAACACATGGAAAAAAAAATTACAAAAAAAAAAAAGCAAAGCGTCTGTCTCTCTCGCTCTGGCTCTCGCTCTCTCTCTCTCGCTCTCTCGCTCTCTCTCTCTCTCTCTCTCTCTCTCTCTCTCTCTCTAGCGGCCACGGCCCCCGCCCCCCTCCGCCTGCTTCCGCGAAAAGAGCCGAGTGAGGGCCGAAGATGACACCGAGCCTCCCGATTGGTCGGATCGTCGACTGGAAAGCAGACGGCGCGCTCATTGGCTGCCGAGGCCAGCGAGGGCCGGGCCACGCCCCCCTCGCCACCTTCGCGCGGGCGGTGAGGAGAGCGCGGAGCCGACGCGCGGGTGGGCGTGTTGTCTCTGGAGGAGTTCGGCCGTGGGAAGCGACTCTTCCCCGCGGGGTCCCCGGAGAGAAGTGAGAGCAAACAAGCCGGTGGTTTAGGAGGGCTCTTGAGGGCTGAGTGAGCTGAGAGCCTTCAGGGCGCCGTGGTGCAGGTTCTCCCGGGGTTGTCGGAGCATCCTCGAGCGGGCCAGGTGATGACATCACTGCATCCGCCGTCCCCCACCTGACACACAGTCGCTCAGGGCCAGGAACCCCGGCCGGGGCTCGGGCCGCCGCTCACTGACGGGGACGGGGTCTGGCTTTGGGTGCCGTGTGCCGTCTGTGGGTAGTGAATGGCCCCGTGGGGACCCCCACAACCTCTGGTGCTGGTGCGGGACTCCTGAAGTTGGAGCGTCCCTCCCGCCGCTGCCAGGGCGGCTGCCCACTGGCCCTCCCCTTCTGTCGTGCACACTGCCTGGAGGCCTAGCAGAGGACCCTGCTGTGGCTCCGAATCCCGCTTTCAGAAGCTAGACGTGAAGGTGTGCAAGAGGGAAAACCGCAACCAAGCGTTCTTAGGCTCTTTTGTCCCCCTGCTACATCAACAAACCTGAGTCCAGTCCAGCGGTCTGGCCAGAAACTAAGTGAAAAAGTGCATTTTGGTGCATGAAAACTTGAAATCCAGTCGAGGGGGAGGGGCCGTCAAAAAGTTCATTGCAGGGCCCGGTGCGATAGCATAGTGGTTAAAATTCTTGCCTTGCGTGCACTCCAAGATCCCATATGGGCACCGGTTCTAATCCTGGCGGCCTCACTTCCTATCCAGCTCCCTGCTTGTGGCCTGGGAAAGCAGTGGAGAATGGCCCAAAGCTTTGGGACCCTGCATCCAAGTGGGAGACCCAGAAGAGCTCCTGGCTCTAGATTGGCTCAACTTCAGCCTTTGCACTCTCTTGGGGAGTGAACCATTGGACCAAAGATCTTCCTCTCTGTCTCTCCTCCTCTGTATATCCGCCTTTTCAATAAAAATAAATAAATCTTTTTTTAAAAGAATGAATATTATGAAAAATATTATGGCAATGAATATTATGAAAAAAATAAGCATGGATTTCAAAAATTACTTTGCCCCAAAATGAATTTCTTTTCATTTTATTTTCAATTTCAATTTTATTTTCTCTCTCAAGATCCCAGTGAACCATATGTACCTGAAGTCACTGAGGCTGTGTGTTATGGCACCTTCCTGCCCTGCCAGACTCCTGCTGGAATTACTGTGCTGCCCCAATGGGGGAGGCCTGGAACGGGAAGATGCTGCTTGGGCTGTGTTTGGGAGTTAGCACAGTCTCCGTACCTTTGTCCTCACACACACCCCTCCAGACCAGAAGTGGGTAAGTCACTGATATGTGAGATTTGTTTTAAAATTAATATACTGAAAGAAAAAAAAAACGGAAGTAAAGTGACTGTATCAGGTCCATAAGCAACTCAAAAGCGGCTACAATTTAACATGTTGCGACTTGGAAATAATCTTGAAGTTTCCGCTCCCTCCCAGGATGCACTACTGGGCAAGAAATCAAGTTAGTGTTACCCAACTAACTGGAGAAGTACGGCAATAACTGAAACTCTAAATACTGGCTCCTACGTGAGCATCTAAATATTTTTCTCAGTTGTCAACAAACCATTTTGTGCTCCCAGCCTCCAAAAATTTTGTTTAAAAAACAACCTCCCTATGTTTTACTAAGTGTTATGTAATCAAATCATATTTTTAAAGCGGCGTGGGAATAAATGTTCTAACACTTCAGTAAGGTTTGCTTTGTGTTACTCCAGCTTGGCCTGGAGGGCCAGCCAGTGTTGTGGCATAGTGGGTTAAAGCCCCTGCCTGCAAGGGCAGCATCTCGTAGAGGCCCAGGTTGGAGTTGAGCTGCTCCAGTTGCGATCCAGCCCGCTGCTGATGCTCCTGGGAGAGCAGCAAAGCATGGGTCCCCACGTGCTTGGGCCCCTGCACCCACGTGGGAAGGAATCGGGCGACTGGCTTCCATCTGGCCTGCCTCACCATTGTGCCCATTTGGGAAGTGAACCGACAGACTGGCATCTCCTGTCTTTCCACCCATAACTCTGCCTTCCAAGTAAATTAAATAAATCATTCAATAAATCAAATGTGAGCTGGCAGCTTCTATACTTCAGAATGAGTGAGTAACCTAGGGAAGACGCAATGAAATACACAGTTCATCCTACTAACTTGTAAAGCAAGATGAGCAATATGGGAGCAAGTTACGTGAATGATGGTACAGGCAAATCAGAAGCGCCTGAACCAAAAACCGTGGCTCCCCAGTGTTATTCTCAACATTAGCCGCACAGCATGCTTGGTCCATGTGCTTCGTTACAAATTAAATAAAATGAATTTGCTATGGCCCTGTGCTTCCTGGATCTGCCATTCTAAGGTTATCTATAGTCTTAGAGTCTTTTTCATTATGATTATAGCATGAATTACGGCATAAATTTCTGTGTTACTGCCATCCCAGCTTTTGTAGCACGATGGCTGCTTGCATTTATCAAATCTCTCTTTGAACAGAAGCTTTTCTTCATGTCCTACAAATGCTTTGTTTGAAAGAGAGAATACGGATTTTGTGGAAAATAAAACTGGCCATGTGCCCTTTTCTGTAAGTACTGAGTCTTCAACTGAAAGTTTTGGAATGAAGACATTTAGTAAAACTTTTCCAAATGAAAGCAGATGGCACATTCAGTCCCCTCTTCCATATGATTTGTGTAGCCATAACAGTAAGCCTGCCCCATTGATTTACAGTTAACATAGCATATCTCCAAGCAATATTTCCTTCTTTCTTTGTATCAGTAAGGTCGGATAGCTGGGGAGAGATGATGTAATTAGGGAAAAGTAAACGGTCCTACAGAAAGACAAAGGAAGCAAAATGGGGCGAGGAAGAGTGGGTGGGGAGGTAGGAACACAGCAGTGGTGTTTACCAAGAACAGGGCTTCCCTAACCCAGCTGTAGCCCACGCCGGGGCCAGGAAGGACTCTGGGAAAGTCCCCTACAGTGGCCAGATCAAAGTTTCCTGTAGATGGTTTTCCAGACCCTGCTGTACCATCCTTGCAAGGATGGCTAATGTACTTTGTAGGTAGAAGAAAGCTGGAAAAATCACAAACCTTTTCTGAGAACCTGGATGGCATTTTCCAATAATGACATCCAGGCAAGTTTCATCAAATCATCTTTTAGGATGCCTTGTGTGAAATCAGGGTGCGGGGGGGGGGTGCGGGGGACAGGTGAGGCTGTGAGGAGAGCACCCTTCCCTGCTCCCTGCATCCTCCTGGGACCTCCTCAGGACATGGGCAGAGACACCGGGGGACCCCATCCTCCCAGTCTCACCTTCAGCTAACCACCTACCACAGGCCTCCTCTCCAGATACCATCCCATAAGAGCTAGGGCTTCCACACGAATCCAGGATGATAAAATCCACTCTATATTTCTCCTCTAATAGCGACAGAGAATATAGTGTCTTAAGTAAAACAGGAGGTAAAGTTGGGATATTCCTAAAGGAAGACAGTTTACACACAACACTGTTAAACTGTCTTAGAACAAAACATTTTTCAGAAGAAGGGCTTCAAGTCAAGAAAACTTGTAGAGAAAAGCTATAACCATAAAAGTGCAAGAACCTCTTGCCAAAACAGAGTGGCTGCATCTCTAGCTAGGCAATTTAATATCTGGTTTTTTTCCATTAGCAGACCTAAATTTTGCCAGCTTTTAAGCAAGTCTGGCTGTCCAAGCAATGTAGCTTGTGAGAAATGCAAGAGTTAGCTGAAGCTCTGGGTGTGTGTGTGTGTGTGTGTGTGTGTGTGTGTGTGTGTGTGTGTGTGTGTGACAGTTTCAAGAGCAGCTTAAATCTGGGTCAAAAGTGAATGTGACCATTGGAGGCGGTCCTGGTGGTGTCAGTGCCTGTCCCAGCACAACTCTTACTTCCTTTGTTCCCCAAAAATGTCCCTCTGTCAGGTCCTGTGTTCAGGACAGAAGCTGACTGGGATAATTCCCCTTAAACTATCAACTTCAAGCATCCCCCGCCCCACGAGGCTGGTTGGACCACTCTGTCCTGCTGCACCGGACTGCACTGGTGCCAAAACCTGCCAAAGCCATGTCTGAACTTCATGTGCCCCCTGAACAGTGAACAAAGGACCACCTTGTTGGGGTCAGCCTCTTTGTCTGTTTCTTTAGTCTCTGTCACACTCAATTGAGATCAACGGTAACTTCACCCCTCGCTCCAGCAAGCAGGACTGCTAAATTCCTGGCATGTCCTCAGCCACCCACCACTCCTGTTCTGGTATTGATGCCACTTCTGGCTGGCTGAACCAGGTCACAAGGTCAACAGAAGCTAAAATTGACACAGGGTTCTCATCCTGCTTCTGCTCTGGTTAGCACAATGCCACTTCTCTGTTCCTTTCTTTACTCTTGCCAGGTACAAATTCTTTAGCTAGGCTAGACTTCAGTCAGCTCAGATATGAAATGTGGTGATGTCTGTATCAGAAGTAGCAGTTCAGACTCCAGACAGAAGGCTCAGCTCTCACAATGGGTGTGGTAGCCACCTCTTGGGATGCTCGTATTAAATTCAGCATTCCTGCGATGTGCAGGCTTCCAGGCAGCACATGATGGCTCCGATAACTGTGGTCCCTGTCACCCATGTGGGCATCGCTTTCCCTTCTCCCTGACAGCACGCAGAATTCCTTTTGATGAAT